GGATGGTCTCGATCTCTCGACCTCGTGATCCACCCGCCTCGGCCTCCCAAAGTGCTGGGATTACAGGCTTGAGCCACCGCGCCCGGCCAGCAATTTCTTTAAAAATTAAACAGGATAGGCAGGGTGGCTCACACCTGTAATCCCAGCACTTTGGGAGGCCAAGGTGAGCAGATCACCTGAGGTCAGGAGTTCGAGACCAGTCTGGCCATCATGGCGAAACCCCATCTCTACCAAAAATACAAAAATTAGCTGGGCGTGGTGGTGCACACCTGTAATCCCAGCTACTCGGGAGGCTGAGGCAGGAGAATCACTTGAACCTGGGAGGCAGAGGTAGCAATGAGCTGAGACTGGGCCACTGCACTCCAGCATGAGCAACAGAGCGAGACTCTGTTTCAAGATGAATCAATAAACACTTACCCATGACTCAGTCCTTCCACTCCAAAGTATTTACCCACAAGAAATGTTAGAATATATTCAACAGGCTGGGCAAGGTGGCTCACACCTGTAATCCCAGCACTTTGGGAGGCCAAAGTGGGCAGATCATCTGAGCTGGAGTTTGAGACCAGCCTGAACAACATGGAGAAACTCTGTCTCTACTAAAAATACCAAAAAAAAAAAAAAAAAAAAAAGCCAGGCGTGGTGGTGCAAGCCTGTGATCCCAGCTACGAGGAGGCTGAGGCAGGAGAATCACTTGAACCTGGGAGACGGCGGTTGCGGTGAGCCGAGATTGCACCACTGCACTCCAGCCTGGGCAACAAGAGCAAAACTGAGTCTAAAAAAAAAAAAAATACACATATATATATACACACCCAACAAAGACAGGTACATGAATGTTCATAGCAGCTTTATTTGTAATACTTCAAAACTGGACATGGTCCAGATGTCCATCAGCAAGTGAATAAACAAACCGTGGTGCATCCAAACAATGGAATACTACTGGGCAATAAAAAGGAATAAACTATTAACACATGCAACAGAGATGACTCACAAATCCTTATGCTCAGCTAAGCAAGAAGCCAGATGAAACACAAGGACATACTGTATGATTCTATTTACATACATTCTAGAAAGTGCAAATTAACCTATAGTGACAGAAAGCAGCACAGTTGTTACTTGGTGTGGGGAGGCAGGTGGAGCAGGAGGGCGGGCTTAGCAAGGGCAGGGGAAACTTTCCAGAGTGAAGGGGATGTTGGTTATCTCGACTGTGGAAATGGCTTCACAGGTGTACACATGTCAGTCATCAAATACACATTTTTAACATATGCAGCTTACTGTACACCAGTTACACCTCAATAAAGCTGTCTTTCAACAAGACACACTCGAAGGCAGCACCTGCGAGGCGGTTAACTGCAGTTACTTGGACAGACACTGCAGTGATTCCTCACCACTTGTTTTCATCATCTAGGAGTGTCCTGTTAAGTTTTCGGTTTTTTTCAAGCAAGTTCTATTTTTTTCAGAGATTACTTTGAAATATTTACAATTTTTTTTTCTTTTTTTTTCCTTTTGAGACAGGGCCTCACTCTGTCACCCAGGCTGGAGTGCAGTATCAAGATCATAGCTCACTGCAGCCTTGAACTCCTATGCTCCAGCAATCTTCCACCTTAGCCTCCAGAGTAGCTGGGACTGCAGGCGAGTGCCACCATGCACAGCTAATTTTTGTATTTTTTTGTAGAGACAGGGTTTTCTCATGTTTTCCAGACTGGTCTAGAACTCCTGGGCTCAAGTGATCTGCCTGCCTCAGGTTCCCAAAGTGCTGGAACTACAGGTGTTAACCACCATGCCCAAACGAAATTTCATGACATAATATTTGATACATACAAAAGGATGTGTGGCACCTGATGTGAGTTAGGAACAGAGTTATAAATGAAAAACCCACGAACCTACCACGGAACCTGAGAGCTAAGACATTACCAATACCTTTACAAACTCCTGGGCTCCTTCCTTATCCCACCCCACATTCCTCTTAGGGATCACCATCTTGGATTTTGTGCTTTTCCTTCTCTTGATTTTTAGTAGAGTTGTATCTTGTGCATGTATTGCTAAGCAATAGATGGGTTTCATCTTGTTTTTGAGCATTGTAAAATGCTATCATACTGTGCCTAAAAGTACTGTTTTAATTTACCTCTGAGATTCATCTACGTTATTGCGTTATGTCTACTACAGTAGTTCTGATTCTCCCAACAGCCCTGCAGTTGGCTTAGGATATGGTAAACCTATGGAAAGTAAAGCTCAGCGAGGTGGGGTGGCTCACCCACTCCAAGGGCAGACTGCAGGGACTCCTCTTCACCACATCTTTCCACTCCTGTACTCATGAGGGTCTCCTGTGTACCAGCAGTGAGCAGGTGCTGGACATGCCACAGGGAATACAGCAGATCCTCCGCCGCCCGAAGCACACATCATAGCGCTGCCCTTGACCGTCACCACCAGGACGACTCCAGGTCCAGGTCAGTTACCTGAACATCCTGGGGGGGGGGGGGGGGGCGGACCATGTCCCTTCTATTTGTCCTCAAGAATGATGTTCAGTCTGACCCTCTCACAGTTTTCTGCTCATAGAGGGCAACTGGACAGCAGCTATTACCATGAGAGACGCAGCCACCACTGACTCAGTAATGCTCCTTCCAGGAACTTTTCCTCTAGAAATGCTTGAATATGTACAGAGGGACACTGGCATAAGAATATTTATTGCAGCGTTGTTTGTAATATCAAAGTAGTAAAATCAACTCAAATTTCCACCAATAGGGATCTCACTGCAGGTCATTAACATTCGTTATGGGAAACACAATGGAGTACCACTAGCCGTAAAAAATCATTTTTTTAAAAAGAGATTTTTCAAAACACAAAACTCTCCAGAATATATATATATTTTCTGGGTGCATGTGACAATTTAATAGATCCATATTCTCCAGGATATACACATAATTTTTTTTTTTTTGAGATGGAGTCTCGAACTATCGCCTGAGCTGGAGTGCAGTGGCATGATCTCGGTTAACTGCAACCTCTGCCTCCCGGTTCAATTGATTATCTTGCTTCAGCACCTCCCCCGCCCCAAGTAGCTGGGATTACAGCTGCGCACCACCATGCCCAGCTAATTTTTTGTATTTTTAGTAGAGATGGGGTTTCACCAGGTTGACCAGGCTGGTCTCAAACTCCTGACCTTGTGATTTGCCTGCCTTGGCCTCCCCAAAGCTGGGATTACAGGTGTAAGCCACCATGTCCGGCCCCCCAGGATGCATTTTTAAAGGGCAAGTTTAGTACACTATGTGGAATATGTGACTACGTGTATTAAAAATTGCAAAGAATAAAATATACTAAATTGCTTAAATACGCATAAATACTTCTAGAAGGGTTCATAAGTAACTGGGACCAGAGTGGCTGGGGACAGGGGTAAGAGGGAGACTCTTCATTATATCTCTGCTATATTTAAAAAAATATGTACCATGGGCAAAGGTTACCATTTAAAAATACATAAATAAAATTTATAAAGTGTTAGTCTCTCAGTGCATAGTCCCTGGCTTCTTGGCCTTTCTTTGCTCTTGGCCTGCCTTTGCTGGCAGCAAACGTTTTACAGGAGCCCCCACTTTGGCAGTTTACATTCTGCAGCCCAAAGCCCCTTTCCAGACCGAATCTGAGGGCCCGGAAGATCCGCCACAAGGAGGCGCTGTCTGCTGCCGGCTGCTCAGTGGGTGAAAAGCCAGCCCTTCCCAGGGTGCGTTTGGTCAGCGGCCATTGCTGAGGAGGAGCTCACCTCCCTGTCCCTGCTTACCCTACCTGGGTTCCAACATTCCTCCAAGAAGTCTGGAGAACTAGAAGTTAGGAATTCACTTTGTATTCCTGTTACCACCACCCCCAATTTGGAAGGTGCTCCTCACCCTCCCTGGGGCTCACGGGAACATGGCGTGAATGTCTGCTGTGGAGAGATGCATTCCCTCCCCTGGGCTGGCTCCCCATTCCTGCCAAGAAACCCTCCCAGTCACTGGCTGGAGTCAGAACAGTTGGAGCTCTGCTGGAGGGTAGATGAGGGGACAAGGACAGTGTGACACCCTGGGAGTCACTGAGCCTCCTCCCATGGCTGCCACCTACCCACCGCCCACCACACCACTCACTTCACAAGTCCTTCCTGCTGCCCGCCAGGTGCAAAATTCTTCCTCTAATACTGCCTTGAATGTCGGGGTGACGATGGGGCCTTTGTTCCAGCTGTTGCCCCCACCCTGCCCCCACCTTCCCGCCCCCCAACCTGCTCCCATCCTGCCTCCCGGGCCTCAGCTGCCCAAAGGCTCAGGGCAAGAGCGCTGGCCAGTGCCTGGGGCAACAGGTGATGCTTGGCCTTGGGGACCCTGGGGTTCGGAACTTGGGGAGACAGACCCTGGGAGAATGGCAGCATAAGCACAAGCTACAGGAGATGGCCATGCCAAGATGCAGGCTCCAGCAAGGAGGATGCCCCTGCCCAGAGGTGGGTCCATTTCTCGTAGTGATCCCAGGGCCTGGCACTAAGGCAACCCTCGGGAGTATCTGTTACCCGGACACAGGCTAACCTTCCCGTTGAATCAGATGATCGTGCTATCATCTGATATTCCTGGCCTAGTATCTGGGCAGTAGGTGGAGGCGGGGGATGCAGGTCATGCAGGTTACCCCCACGGGCAGCAGGCTCCCTGGAACTGGATGGAACAGCCCTCAGGGGCCCCTCCTGGGCCCTTCCAGGGGCCACCCAGTGAGATCCTTGGTGGGGCAACGGTGCCCTGGATTAGAGTCCCTTTGTTGGTGCCCCCCATCTGCATGAGTCCTTGGGGTGCCAAACTACAGCGGAGGCCCCTAACGACAAAGCAGAGGGTGGTCAGTTCTGAGCAAGGGTACAGGGAAGGCACAGTGTCCCTGGGATGGCTGCTGGGAACCATGGCCTCCTGTCACCTTACCTGGCTTCCCCAAAACCCCAGGGGCCCTGCCCTTCTGAGGTGCCCACAGAAAGGGAGGGAAGGAGGTGGGAGAGGAGGTGGGTGAGGAGGTGGGTTCACTCCCCCGACCTGGAGGGACCAGAGGAGTAAAACGAACCAGCTTTAATACCAATATAGTTCTCTCTTAAATACCATGTTCCCCAGGAGAGATGCAGGGGCAGGCTCTTGGCAGAAAGAGTAGAAAGGAAATGTGGAACAAAATGGAATGGATGGCCCAGGGCCCCTGCCTTGGGCACTAGGGACTGGGCTGCCTCAGGGAACGGGGAGTGACAGCAGCTCCCCCTGGTCCAGTTATTGCAGAGGCGTGGGGGTGGCTCCCCTCCCTCCCCAGGCCTGAAACATTTCTCAGGATTGATTCTGCCCTTCAGCCCCAGCAGGGCTGGGGCCTGGGCGTCTCTGGTCTGGGATGGGCCCCTTTGCTCAAAAGGGCCTGCAGCTAAGGCATGGGGTGGGGAGCCCCTGGCCAGGCCCGCCGCTCTCAGTAGGTGCTCTGGTGGCCTGTGAGGATGTAGAGGTTGCTGTGCGCCCCTGGGTTGTCAGTGGGAATGCTCTCCAGGATGATGTCTCTGGAGGAGAGAGGAGTAGGGGGCAGGGCGGGAGACGCTTGGCACATCAGCCCCTTCTCTGGCCTCAGGGGCATCTGAAGGGGAGGCTGGGGTGCCACTGCCTACCTGTGGGCCCCAAGCACTCGGAAGATCCTCGTTTCATCTGTGATCTCCTGGGTCACCTGGGAAGATGGTGGGGGGCACTGAGGGCACTCCAACAGGTCCTTTCCAAAGAAGTGGGGACCACAAGGCAGGGGACAGCCAGGTCCCTGGCCCCACTCACCTCATTGGTGTCCAGGCTGCGGCCTTGCATCCCATGGCTCCAGAAGGCCAACACGCTGTCCTGCAGGCACACTACAGGGCCAGGCCACCATCAGCCCTGCACCCGTCCTGGATCCCCCCAGCCACTCCTGGGCCTGGGTCTGGGCCACAGCGGTCTTCACAGACCTCAGGTGACCAGGATGGCTCAGGAAAGGGGCTGGGGGATCTGCCTCCTCGTCCCACCGCCAGGCCCAGGCCCCTGAGCCACAACGTGGTCCAGGCCAAAAGGCCCGCACACCACCTCTGGCTCACTCACCCACAGTCTCGATGGGGAAGTCAAAGGTCAGCTCAGGCGCCAGTGTGGCCGTGGGCTCGCCCTGCATGTTGACAATCCTCACGCAGCCTGCACAGGGAGGGGACTGGTGGGTGGGGATGGGGTGGCTTCCTTCTGGGAAGGCAGAGCCACACGGTCCCCTCACCTCCATCCTCCCCTGCCCCCAGGGCACTCACGTTCAAAGCTGACTAGGACCGTGTCCCTGTCCACCTGGATCACCTGCTGGGCCGAGCCTGGGATCCCCTCTGCAGGCAGAGAAGACAGACATGGCCTGGCTGAGCCCCAAGAGGACATGAGGGACAGGCTATAGACAGCTCCTGGCCATGCGGGCACGTCAGTCTCACAATAGCCCTGTGCGGCTGGGAAACCTCGTCTCACTCCCGGGCTGGAAACTGAGGCTCTGAGAGGATGCATGACCTGTCCTGGGGCTCATGGGGAGTGGGGGGAGTCACAGGGAACCACAGGAGGGCTCCAGATTTTGGGGGACCAGGCCTCAGGACCCAGTCACTGTGTGACCTGGAACAAGTCACTTTAGCTCTCAGAGCCTCCGTTTCCTCATAACACAGGCAAGATGGCACTGCCTAGAGGGGCTACCGTGAGGATTAAGAATAAAATCTTGGGCCGGGCGAGGTGGCTCATGCCTGCAATCCCAGCCCTGTGGGAGGCCAAAGTGGACAGATCACCTGAGGGCAGGCATTTGAGACCAGCCTGGCCAACAGGGTGAAACCCTGTCTCTACTAATAATATAAAAATTTTCTGGCTGGGCGTGGTGGCTCACACCTGTAATCCTAGCATTTTGGGAGGCCGAGGTGGGTGGATCACCTGAGGTCAGGAGTTCAAGACCAGCCTGGCCATCATGGTGAAACCCCATCTTTAAAAAAATAATAATAATTTTTTTTTCTTTTGTCCCACAGGGTAAATAAAAGAAAAAAAAAATTAGCTGGGCATGGTGGCACATGCCTATAGTCCCAGCTACTCAGGAGGCTGAGGAAGGAAAATCCCTTGAACCTGGAAGGCGAAGGTTGCAGTGAGCCAATATCGTGCCATTGCACTCTAGCCTGAGCAACAGACCAAGACTCTGTCTCAAAAAAAATTAAGAATAAAACCCTGTGTGTGAGACCCCTGGCTCAGGACCTGGCAGTAGGTGCCTTATCCACATGCACCCTCCCAGCTCCCTTACCCATTGCTACCCACTATTGCCCTGAGCTGCCACAACACCTAGAGTCCTGCTTCTTGGCTCAGAATGGGGGCCCCAGGCCCTGCCTTGCCAGATCTGACCCTTCCCTGCTGCCCAAAGCAATAGTGACCAGGTTTTTTGTTTATTTTTTGAGATGGTGTTTCTCTATGTTGGCCAGGCTGGTCTCGAACTCCCTACCTCAGGTGATCCGCCCACCTCGGCCTCCCAAAGCGCTGGGATTACAGGCATGAGCCACCATGACCGGCCCTGTTTTTTTTTTTTGAGACACTCTGTCACCCAGGCTAGAGTGCACTGGCACTGCAGCCTCTGCCTCCCGGGCTCAAGTGATCCTCCTACCTCAGACCAAGGAGATGGGACCACAGGTGTGCACCAATGTGCCCAGCACATTTTTAAAATTTTTTGTAGAGTCAGGGTCTCTCCATGTTGTCCAGGCTGGTCTCCAACTCATGAGCTCAAGCCCCCCTCTCTCCCTGGCCTCCCAAAGTGCTGGGATGACAGGCGTGAGCCACCATGTCCAGCCTGGCCAGGATTTTCTTAGCTGCCAAGCCCTGTGGTCTAATGAACCCTTTTATGGAAGCGCAGGTGAAGCTTGATGAAGGGAGGCTGGGGGGCCCCACCCCCACATGGCAGCCCTCAAGGTCTCTGTGGTGCCATCAGCTGTGGGGACCCTAGTCTGGGAGCCTCAGTCCTCCCTCCCTGCCTCCTTCCCCGGTCCCTCATGCAAGCACATCCACCCCCACCAGCCTGGCCCTCCTGCTCACCAGGTGGGACGAGGATGTCAGGCGTCAGCCCAGCCTCCAGGGGCAGGACATGGAACAGGACTCGGCAGCCGGGCCCCTCAGGTCCCTCAGCCCCCACACACACCTGCGGCAGCTCCTTCCCATCCAGCACCAGGGGCTCCAGCATCCCAGCCGGGCTGGGCAGGGGGCTGGAGAAGTTCTGGGGGGCAGCAGAGATGCTCAAGTCTCCACTTCTCCCTGCAGAGCTCCGAGGGTGCCCTGGGCCTCCCCGCACCGCCACTCACCTTCAGCAGCAGGAACTTCTGCAGCGGCTCATACCACTGCAGCAGGAGCAGGCTGGCAGGCAGGGCGGCCAGCAGGAAGGTGGCGCCCGTGTAGGGGTTCCGCACTAGCAGGGGAGCAGGCAGTGGGCACCGGGCTGGGCCTGCGCTGCCCCCCACTAGGCCCCACCCCACCTGCCCATCCCATTTCTTACCCACACGACACTGCAAGCAGCCTTTGGTGTCAGGAATCTTGGTGGACAGAGCAAAGCGCCTGTAGGGGTAACAACCAAGGCATTGTCCAGGGTGCCATCCACAGGCAAGGCCCCTGCAGAGCCCTAAGAAGGACACTATCATCTTCCCTCTTTACAAGTAAGGGACTGATTCTCAGGAGAGACAAAGTAACCTGCCCCAAGAGCAGCTGGAAAGGGTGGAGGATCTGAAGCCAGTGCCCCAGCCTTGCAGCCGGAAGTGTCTCCCTCAGGACAGGGGTTTGGGTCTCAGAATTGCTTCTAGCTCTGTGCAACTTTAGGCAAGCCACTTAACCTCTTCATGCCTCAGTTTCCTCATCTGTAGATTGAGGAAACCCACTCCTGAAACCTGTACAGGGGAGGCGCTCTCATTGTGCTGGGAATTGTGTGTGCTCACAGAGAGCGAGGCCCTGCCGTCCCATATGAGAACTTTCCACCTATTTTGAGTCACTGAAAGTCTTTGTCAGGTGAAGGCAGGGTATAAAGAAATGAAGAAATGAGCGTATGAAGGGGTCGGAGAGAAGGCAGGCTCCAGCCCCACGGGGCTGCAGGGAGTGCCCACGGCCCATTTCACAGACAGGAAAACAGGCCCTGGGCGGTTAATGGGCTTCAAAAGGCCAATGCCCTGCCCTCTGCTTCTCCAGCTGAGCCCTGTGGGGCCAGGCAGTGGCTCACCTTGTTGCCAGGGGAGAAGTAGTAAGGGACAGTCATCAGATGGGCCCTTGCCTTGGTCACTGGGTGTCCCCTCGCCCTCCAGGGGACCCTCTGAGCCTGTTTCTTCCTCTGAGGAACGGGGCTTCATGTCAGCAGCCCTGCCACCTCCACCCAGCGGCTTGGGTCCTGTGTGCACCTTCTGCCAGGACGTGGAGGAAGCCAATGTCTGTCTCGCACTGTCCCTGGTCCTTGTCCCTCCATCTCCCCCACATTCCTCCCACTCTGCTCCTCAGCTGGTCTTTGGACGGGACAGAGGTATGTATTTTGTATTTGTTTTTTCTCCAAACAACTCTAGTTCTCTGTTATTTGCATTCAAAGTGCTCACTGTACCTCTGCCATTTCCCAAACACAGGCTCAAAGCTGCCTGTGACCTGTGCGGGCTCTGATGGGCCTGTTTCCTGTAGGTCCTGGGCCAAAGCAGAGGCTCAGTTGGGGACTGAGCTCAGGAAGCCCCAAGGCCACAGGGCTCCAGATGTGGTCCTGGAGTGAGCACACTGCAGGAAGGTGCCCCACCCCCAGCTCGCCAGCTGTCGCAGCCACTGGCCTGGCCTCCCCTGCCCTCTGCCCCGGCTCCACTGCTTCCGACACCACCCATGGTCATGACAATGTCGGAGCCACAGCCTAGGGACCCTCTCTTCACAGCCCAGCCCCACCCAGCCACGGACTGACGCAGGTCCCACCTGCACGTCTAATAAGCATCTTCATGAAACAAAACTGAATTTGGCTCCCCCTGAAACTGCTCCACCTCCAGCTGATGACAGCTCCATCCTTCCTGATGCCCAGGCCAAAAACCTTGGAACCATCCTTGACTCCTCTTTCTCTTCCATCAGGAAATCCTGACTCGACTTCCTTTTTTTTTGTATTTGTAGCAGAGACGGGGTTTCATCCTGTTAACCAGGATGGTCTCGATCTCCTGATCTCATGATCCATATGCCTTGGCTCAACTTTCAAAAGAGAATCACAATCTGACTGTTTTTCTCCTCTTTCTTTTTTTTTTTTTTTTTTTTTTTTTTTTTTGAGATAGAGTCTTGTTCTGTCACCCAGGCTAGAGTGCAGTGGCACCATCTCGGCTCATTGCAACCTCCGCCTCCCAGGTTCAAACGATTCTCCTGCCTCAGCCTCTCAAGTAGCTGGGACTACAGGCACCCACTGCCATGCCTGGCTAATTTTTGTATTTTTAGTAGAGACAGGGTTTCACCATGTTGTCTTGAACTCCTGACCTCAGGTGATCCACCCACCTCGGCCTCCTAAAGTGCCGGGACTACAGGCATGAGCCACCAGCCACTGTGCCTAGCCTTTTTTTTTTTTTCTGAGATAGGATCTCACTCCGTCACCCAGGCTGGAGTGTAGTGGTGTGATCTCGGCTTACTGCAACCTCTGCCTCCCAGGCTCAAGGGATCCTCTCACCTCAGCCTCCCGAGTAGCTGGGACCACAGGCATGCCACCACACCAGGTTAATTTTGGTATTTTTTTGTAAAGACTGGGGAGATCTCTATATTGCCAGGCTGGTCTCAAACTCCTGGGCTCAAGTGATCTGCTCGCTTCGGCCTCCCAAAGTGCTGGGATTACAGGCAAGAGCCATCATACCTGGCCTCTGACCCATTTTTCACCTCCATCACTGCTACCCTGGCGAAAACCACCACCACCTCCTGCAGTATCTCTCTCTTTTTTTCTTTTTTCTTGAGTTGGAGTCTTGCTCTGTTGCCAGACTGGAGTGCAGTGGCATGATCTCGGCTCACTGCAGCCTCCGCCTCCTGGGTTCAAGTGATTCTCCTACCTCAGCCTCCCAAGTAGCTGCTATTACAGGCACATGCAGCCACGCCCAGCTTTTTTTTTTTTTTTTTTTTTTTGTATTTTTAGTAGAGACGGGTTTCACCATGTTGGCCAGAATGGTCTTGCTCTCCTGACCTCATGATCCACCCAACATGCTGGGATTACAGGCATGAGATCCCGTGCCTAGCCTCTTCACTCCACTCTCAACACAGCAGTCTGAGGGAGCTCCTGAAGGTCTCAGCCCACATCACTCCTCTAGAGTGGCCCCAGGCTGCCCTGAGTCAAGGCTGCGCTGTGGCCACAGGGCCCTCCCTGATCATCTCCCTCTCCCTCGTTCTGGCCGCACTGACTTCCCTGTTGTTCCTTAAACAGGCCAGGCCCACTCCTGCCACTAGGCCTTTGTATGGGCCATCCCCTTGGCAGGGATCCCCTTCCACAGGTGTCCACAGGGCTTGTGCCATCACCTCCTCTAAGCCTTTGCTCAAAACAACACTTTTTCAGCAAGGCCTTTCGTGACGCCCCTGCTGAAAACCACAGTCTGCGGTGAGAATGAAGACAGCAAGAGAAAAGCAGAACCAGGAGACGCAGATAGGCACCTGTGCCGCCACCGAAGCCCGGACACGGCTGGGCCTGAAGCAAACCCTGATCCTGGATTTTCAGTTCCATGAGTCATTAAATTCCCTTTTGTGTCTAAGCTAGTGAGTTGGATCACCTACCAGGGAAAGAATCCAGCCAGGCGTGGCGGCTCATCCCTGTGATCCCAGCACTTTGGGAGGCTGAGGCAGGCAGACCACTTGAAGTCAGTTTGAGACCAGCCTGGCCAACATGGAGAAACCCCGTCTCTACTATAAATACAGAAATTAGCCAGGTGTGGTGGCACACGCCTGTAATCCCAGCACCTCGGGAGGCTGAGGCAGGAGAATTGCTTGAACCTGGGAGGAGGCGGAGGTTGCAGTGAGCCAAGACTGCACCACTGTACTACAGCTTGGGTGACAGAGCAAGACTCTGTCTCAAAAAAAAAAAGCCGGAAAGAATTCTGATCAACATACACAGGGGTCCCTTTAAAATCCTGGGCCAGCATCAAAGGCAGGAAGGCAGGGCTCTGCACCAGCGCACCGCTCAGCTTCCTCCTGGGCTGCCCCGCCTTCTCCCTCAGGCGAACTCTGCAGTGACGCAATCTCGGCTTCTGCCTCCTGGGTTCAAGCAATTCTCCTGCCTCAGCCTCCCAAGTAGCAGGGATTACAGGCCTGTGCCACCATGCCCAGCTAATTGTTATATTTTTAGTAGAGACAGGGTTTCACCATGTTAGTCAGGCTGGTCTCGAACTCCTGATCCGCTCGTCTAGGCCTCCCCACAAATTGCTGGGATTACAGGTGTGAGCCACTGTGCCCAGACCCCAGGCAAACTCTTAGAGCTCCCCAGTTCACCAGGCTGCTCTGTCCCAGCAGATACCAACACATACCCACTCTTCCACCTACCTGGAATGCCATTCCCTACCTCTCTGCCTAGAAACTCTGACACTTTCAAACCTGCTGAGCTTGCCCAGTTGCTCTAAAGCCTCTCCACCTGCTCCCAGCTCTCCTTCTAATTGGACCTCAATGCCAGGTGCTAACTGTCCACATTTCTCTTTCTTTTTTTTCTTTTTTTGAGACAGAGTTTTGTTCTTGTTGCCCAGGCTGCCAGGTTGGAGTGCAATGGCGTGATCTAGGGTCACTGCAACCTCTGCCTCCTGGGTTCAAGGGATTCTCCTGTCTCGGCCTCCTGAGTAGCTGGGATTACAGGCATGCACTACCACATTCTGCTAATTTTTTGTATTTTTAGTAGAGACAGGGTTTCTCTCTGTTGGTCAGACTGGTCTCGAACTCCCAACCTCAGGTGATCCACCCGCCTCAGACTCCCAAAGTGCTGTGATTATAGGCATGAGCCACTGTGCCCAGCCTCTTTTTCTTTATGAGACAGGGTCTGGCTCTGCTGCCCAGGCTTCAGTGCAGTGGTGCCATCACAGTTCACTTCAACCTCAACCTCCTGGGCTCAAGCAATCCTCACACCTCAGTCTCAGTCTCCTGAGTAGCTGGGACCACCGGCACAGAGCACTGTGCCTGGGGCCACCATGCTCAGCTAATGTTTTGACTTTTTTTGTAGTGACAAGATCTCCCTATGTTTTCAGGCTGATCTCAAGCACGTGGCCTCAAACAGTCCTGTCTCAGACTGCAGGATTGGGATTACAGGCATGAGCCACCACACCCGCATCTCCCCCATTTCTTGAAAGCAAGGACTCATGGGATTCTCCATGTCCCGAAGCCCAGCATGGGGGCCAGTAACACAAGTGCTCAGTAAATGTCTGCGTAACTGTCAAGCCCCACATCTGAACAACTGCAGCTCCCACAACCTGGAAAGCCCTTTCACATACACTGTCTCCTCCTTGCCTCCCGACCAGCAGGAAGGAGGGAGTGGGAAGGTTATCAATTGAACTGACAGAGGAGGAGACGGGGGCTCGGAGAAGCGAAGTGACATGTCTAAGATCGCCCCAATCCCAGGAACTGGCAAGGCCGTGTTCCAGCCCCTCCCTGCCCCTTTGCCGCTTCCTCCCCGCACTCCCAGGGTTCCTGACCTGGGGATGATGCGCTGGGTGAGGCGGTTGGTAGGGATGGAAAGGGGAGCCTGTTGCTGTAGTCTCCGCTGCTCAAACAGGCCTGGGAGGTCATGGGCCCAGATGTGCGTGGACTTCCCTGCAGAGAAGGGGAGACGCCGGGGCCTGGGGCGTTGGTGGGCAGGATGCTGAGGTGCTGGAGCCCCTTCGGGCCCCACCTCCCTGCCCGTCCAACCTTGTACCTGAGAGTGACAGCAGCACATTGTTCACGCAGTAGAGCCAGGAGCAGCGGTGTGAAATCAGCTGGAGGCGACAGAGGGACAGGCAGTCAGCACCCCAGGCCTCCCAAGGCCTCCGCCTCCCCCGACGCCAGGTGGGTCTCACCTTCTCCAGCGTATCCTCATGCAGTTCATGCAGGTTGAGAGTGTAGATGCCTTCCTCGGCCCCCACCACCAGGAACTGGTCTGTGGGTTTGGGCACGGGGTCAGAGGTCAGACATGCCCTGCCCGCCCCACCCAAGCTGAAGGGTTCCCAGGGTTCCTGCCTCCTCCCTGTCCCAGCCTACCCCGAGTCACAGGGTGAATCCAGGTGACAGCAGCGTGGATCCGCAGGGGGCAGCCGTTGAAGACTTTGGAGAAGCAGGCGCCCATCTGTGGAGGAGTCAGGAGGCTGGTAAGGGGGTGCAGGGGCAGGGGGTGGCAGGGCTGTGGGACTGCAGGGCTGGGGGCACTTACGTGCACCTTGGGCGTTGGGGGGAGCCCGTGGCAGGACGACCTCTGGGAGAGAGGGAGAGAGGGAGTCAGGGCTGATGTGACAGCCGTAGCCACCCGTCTCCCCATGCCCCTTAGTACCCCCTCACCTCAGGATCTTCCCGCTGCTTCATGGTTGCCCAGGCCGTGGGCAGCAGTGGGGGACTGTTGGGGCCTGGAGGAGGTGGGGGCAAGGTTCCTGCGGGCACAGGTGTGCTGTGATTTTCTGCTGCAGCCCCTACTCTAGGCCGGCTTCTTGACCTCCCAAGCCTGGGACTCACCTTGGGGACTAGACAGAGGCTCCTCAGCTGGAGGCTCAGGGGGCAGTGGCCCCAGGAATGGGGCTCGCTTGATGGTTCCCATGGCATCGTCTGGGGAGTCCAGCTCCTGGCAGGAGGGGCAGGGCACGGTCTGGCCGTTAGCAGGTTGTCCTGTGACCGCATCCCACTCCAGTCGCACCCTCTGCAACGGCCTGGATCCCAGCTCCAGCCTCTCTCCATGTGGCACCTGGAATTCTGAGACTGACCGGATGGTCAGGCTCCTGGGGGAGGGAGACAAGGCATGAGGCGTGAAGTGTGACTATCGCTGAGGCTGCCTGCCTTTTGCCCCTCCACCAGGCCCAAGCCCCTCACCTTTCCTCCAGGGCCTCCTGGACCGACTGCAGCAGGCTCCTGGGCAGTGGGGCAGAAGGGTCAGAGGTAAGCCTTATTTTCTTTTTTTCTAGAAATGGAGTTTTGCTCTCGTTGCCCAGGCTGCAGTGCAATGGTGCAATCTCGGCTCACTGCAACCTCCGCCTCCCAGGTTCAAGCAATTCTCCTGCCTCAGCCTCTCGAGTAGCTGGGATTCTACAGGCGTTGGCCACCATGCCCAGCTAATTTTTGTATTTTTATTTATTCATTTATTTTTGAGATGGAGTCTCGCTCTGTTGCCTAGGCTGGAGTGCACTGGTGCGATCTCAGCTCATGCACTCTGCCTCTTGAGTTCAAGTGATTCTCCTGACTCAGCTTTCCAAGTAGCTGGAATTACAGGCGTGAGCCACCACGCCTAATTTTTTGTATTTTTAGTAGAGATGGGGTTTCACCATGTTGGCCAAGTTGATCTCGAACTCCTGACCTTGTGATCCTCCTGCCTCAGCTTCCTAAACTGTTGGGATTACAGGCCCCACCTAATTTTTGTATTTTTAGTAGAGATGGGGTTTCACCATATTGGCCAAGCTGGTCTCAAACTCCTGACCTCAGGTGATCCACCCATCTCAGCCTCCCAAACTGCTTGGATTATAGCCATGAGCCACTGTGCCCGGTCAGAGGTCAGGGTTTCTGCCACCCCAGCCGCCCCCGCAACTTCCCCACCCCTACTCACCCACTCAGCTCTTCCTTTCCCAATAGTGTCCACTCTTCCTCCCACTGGGGGAAACCGAGGCAGAGAGACCAGGAGAGAAGCAGAGACAGAGGCAATGTGAGAGGGTGGTCAAGAGATTCAGGAGAAAAAGACAGACAGACAGACAGACAGGGAAAGCGAGATGGAAACACGAAGGAGACGAAAGAGACAGACGGTGGGAGGCAGAGCCCAAGAGACTGTGAAAGAAAGTGCAGAGACAGTGAGGGAGGAAGAGACAGGCTGGGGGGTGAGGAGAGGCGGGGACAGAGCCTCTGAGGGCAGAGATGGTGAGTCAGACCACCAGGGACACACAGGTGGGGAAACAAGGCTGAGCAGGATAGTGTGGGGGCTCAGACACACAACGGCCTCCTTGTGGGAAAGGAAGGGTCTCTGTGCTACCTTCCAGCCAGCCACCTAAAAGAACTTGGCCCAGGAAGGAGCCCCCAGCCTCCGGGTCCCTGGGTAAGACAAGCCTGCTTGGACAGTCCAAAGCCCAAGGCCCAAGGCCCCCTAGCTTCAAAGCTCCCTTGATTTGAGCTGCTTGGCCTCCATCCGACCTCCCTGCCCTACTCCTGGGCACCACCTTCCCCTCATGGCCTGCCCACTCACCGGCTCATTCAGTGGGTCGGTTTCCTTCCTGCGTGGGGCGCCAAATTTCACCTGGTGAACTGGGGGGGTCCAGAGGACAGGGGTTAAGTGACTGGAATCTTAGGATGGAGCCCTACTCTCATACCAAATCTGTACACACACAGCGCCCCCCCCAAAAATCTGCACACGCACAGCCCCTGCTGCAGACTCACACTGGATCTCCGACGGGGTCCTCTCGGCTTGGCCATGCTGCCCCCGGGAGTGAATGGTGTCTGGAAACATGTCGTAGGTCTAAGAAAGAACAGAAACGGGCCGGGTGTGGTGGCTTACACCTATAATCCAAGCACTTTGGAGGCCAAGGCGGGCAGATCACCTGAGGTCGGAAGTTCAAGACCAGCCTGACCAACACGGCAAAACCCGGTCTTTAAAAAAAACAAAAAGAAGAAACAACAGAAATGGTGCGGGCACACCTGGCATGTGCCTCACACCAGGGCCGCTGGAGGAGCTTCACACGCACCAACGCATTCTGCTTTCACGATATCCCTCAGGGACTACTGTAAAATAAAATGGAACCCCACTTCACAGATGAGAGAACCCGCACAGAGAGGTGCCAAAGATCACACACAAAGCAAGAAAACGGCACAGTCATGGTCATGATGAGCAGGGGCTCAAGGGCAGGGACCGATCAAGGGGGAGGTATAGGGAGCAAGACTCAGCATGGCAGAAACTCCTAATGGGAGGCTCAACCAAGGCCAGCTCCCTGAGCTGGAATGGCATCAGTTAAAGGGACCTCCACCAACATCACCCTTGGGCTCCTTCTAACCAGATCAGCCCAAGACTTACCTCCCAGTCCCCCTCGCCTACCTCTAGCTCACAGTCCTCAGGGGAGGGTGTCCCCAGATGAGGGTCACTGGCTTTGTCCAGCAGCTGTGTGAGGAGGGCCCGAGGGAGCTGCTGGGTTGTGAACGGGTGCTGGAAAGTGGGGGAGGGGGTGATCAGGTTGGCCCCTGATCCAGGGCCCTGCTTTTGAGCACTGCGCCCTCACGCAGCCCCTGCCTCCCACCTGCAGGAGCTTCTCTGCTGTAGGCCTCTTCTTGGGATTTTTGGTCAGGGCCAGCTTGAGGAAGTGGTGGAAATTCTGGGTCCTAGTGGGCACAAGAACCGCCCCCCAGCCCCAGATCCAGGTTAGCCCTCATGGAGGGTGTCCTGCCAGCTGCCCCACCACCCCTCCAGAGTCGTCTGCTGGGCCTACCCAGGAAGGAGCCAGCTGACGCCAAGGGCCACTGGCCGAGCAATGCTGCCTCATGACATGGCTGCTCCTCCACCAACCCACCACCCTTCTTTCCTGACCACGCTGGGTCTTCAGCCCACAGGAGGGCCAGAGGCCTCACTCAGATGGTCTATAGTGGCCCAGAGAGGATAGCGCTCTTGGGGCTGCCCACCAGGAGTTGGCAGAGGCTCCCTGTCCACTATGGGGCTGGCAGAAAAAGGGGCCCTGGAGCAGGGTATGGCCCTTACCAGCGAGCCTTATCTCTCAGTTTGGGCGGCTGGAAGCTGCTCTTCGACATGAGCATCAGGGCCCTGCGGAGGGCGCGAGGTCAGGGGCCATGGGCCGCAGGTCAAGGGTCAGGTGAGGGGCAAGTGTTGGGCTGACCTCATGGGGTGCAGGTGGAACAGAGGGGGCTGCAGCTCGCCCAGTTCAATGGCGGTGATGCCCAGGGCCCAGACATCACACAGCTCGTTGTAGCCACCTTTGCGCTCCACGGCAGCCACCTCCGGAGCCATCCTAGAGGTGAGGTCACAGATGGGATGGCCGGGTGCCTCTCTGCTGTAGCCCCTGCCCCTCTGCCCCAGGGCACAGCCTCACCAGTAGGGAGTCCCAATGAAAGACCTCCTCTTGGCCACAGACGCTGTCAGCTCACCTGACACCCCAAAGTCAGCTGTGGGGAGAAACAGCCACTCTCACCGGCCATCTGGCTGCCACTCTCCCTCCCACGCCCGGGGCTCAGATGGGCAGGTGGCCCCGCTCAGCCACAGCTGCTGCAGGCCCTAGGCAAGGCCATTCTCCTCTCCTGAGAGGAGGCAACCACCCTCTAGCCCGGACGGAGTGCCTGATCCCATGTCAACTCCGTGTAGACCCAACCTCATCCATTTTCCAGCAGGGAGGGAGTACCGTTCCATCTTCTAAGCAGGGAAACTGAGACTCAAGTGGCAAAGTGACTGGCCCAGTGACACCCAACACCTGAGTCCAGGGTAGCCAAGAAGGGTCCACAGAACCCTCACCCTGATTGTGTCCCCAGGGTACTGACCCAGCTTGACATCTCCCTGGAGAGTGAGGAGAAGGTTGGCTCCCTGTGGGAATGGAGGAGAGAGAATCCCGTCTGGTGCTCCCGAGGGCCTCCGCCTCCCACCCAGGATGCCCTCGGCCAGATGCTTACCTTGATGTCTCTGTGGATCTTCCCCTGAGAATGCAGGTGGTGGAGCCCCTGGGGACAAACAGGAGTCCCTGAGAGCAGCCACCCAGCACTGTCCCACCTTCCCTGAACCCCCTCTCAGGACTGGGGCCCCCCACCCACGCTGCTTCTTCCTCCCCTCTCCCCAAACAGGAAGTGACTGAGCCAAGAGGGAAATGGGCTGCTTCCGGCAACAGGGCTGGGGCCCCTTTCCCCCAGGACCTACAGCCCCTCAGGCCAGCCCCACCCGAGGCCCTCCACCCGCCTCGCTGCTGGTCATCTGGGCTCCGGGCCCACAGCTTCTGGGGACCGGAGGTATAGGCACCTCACAGGCCCAGCTACCTTCAGTGCCTCTCGGCAGACGTAGGCAATCTGCCGCTCCTCCAGGGGCCCAGTGGCTGAAAGGGAAAGGGAGAGGCTGGCCTGGGGGGCCTGGGGGCCATGCCCACCCTCCTGGGCTACCCTGTGTGGGAAAAGCAGCAGGCACTGTTAAGTGAAAGCAGCATTGGCCACGTTCCCTCCCAGTTCAGTCTAGGATACTGAACCCAGAGATGGACAGCACTTCTCTCAAGGTCACATAGGCAGAAGCGGAGAGGAGCCCAAGTCCAGGGCCCTGAGTCCCCTCGGCCACCCCAGTCGGGTGGGGGTGGGGGAAAGCTGGGGCCGGCTCCGGCCTGGAGCCCTGGCCTCACCATGGTAAATCTCCTGCAGGGAGCCCCCTCCACAGAACTCCATGCAGATCCACAAACGGTCATTCCTGGGGGACAGAGAGCTGGGGTGGGCACACGGCCGGTCATATGGGGGCTGCCTGGGGCCAGGAGGATAAGGCAGCCTCACCTGAGGTAGCTGCCAATGTAGGCCACCACATTGGGGTGGCGGCACTCACGCAGAATGGTGATTTCCTGCTGGAGGGAGCTGATGTCGTCTCCTGGGAAGCACAAAGTATCATGGGGGGGGGTACGCTGGGGTTGCCCTGACTCAGTACCCCCATCTGCAAAATGGGCACAGAGTGCCTCCCTCCGGGCCAGGCAGGTGCCAGGCGATAGCACCTCCTGGGGCATGCCTCTCAGAGGTCTTCGAAACGTCAACCCTCCGCCCGCACCTCCCGCCCGCGGGCGCTCTGCCCTCCCTCTGGCGCAGAGGCCCAGCCCGGTCCCTCACCTGGGTCTAGCTTGACTATCTTCACGGCGGCCAGTTCAGACGTAACCGTGTCGCGGGCCTGCAGGGGCGGAGGGTGAGGTGGGCTGGGGGGCGGGGCCGGGGGCTGGATCCCGCCGCGGGGTGCGGGGCTGGCACCCTTCTCCCGGCTCTCCCGCCCGTCCCGTCGCCCGGCGCACCTTGTAGACGTCGCCATAGGTCCCGGCCCCCACGCGCTGCAGCAGCTCGAAGCGGTCCCGCGGGTCCTGCAGCGACACATCCCGCAGCAGCGCCATGGCCCGGCGCCGGGCGGGCCGGCAGGCGGGCAGGCGCGAGCTGCGGAGCCGGCGCGGGCGGCGCGGGGCGGGGCGGGGCGGGCGCCCGCGGCTCTGAGGCCGCGGGGGCGGGGCCGGGGCCCGGGGGCGGGGCAGCGCCGGGGATGCCCCGCCGCCCGGCCGGGAGGAGGCGCTCGCGGGACGGGCCCTGGGCGGCGTGGGGAAGCCCCGAGGCCCGGGCGGGGCCTATGTCTTTCCGCCGCCACGGTTGCTGGCGCTCCGCAGGTAGAGAGCGCAAAGTCCTGGGAGCCAGAGGGTCTGCAGAAGGAAGAGGGGGCGCTCCACTCCCGCCCCATTCCCAATTTCCCAGATGAAACATGGACTTGCGCTTCGTATTTTTTTTTTTTTAACAAAATGTATTCATCTTTCTTGAAACTGAAAAATAAATCTATGTACAAAACAGGAAGAGATCAGGCTCCTGTCACCCACTCCCAACCCTCTGCAGATTTCCTCCGGGATGCTCCGAGATGGGCTGGACCTCTGGGAGGTTCCCAGAGGGTAGGAAGGGTGGTCCTGCTCTGATCTGGGGCCAGTTTGATCAGGAAGAGGGCGGGGCTCAGGATGCTCACGGGCTGGGGGCGGAGTTTCGAGTCCCAGACTTGGGGCAGGAAGGGGAGGAAGCTAGATTTCCAAATTCTAGAGCAGGACTCAAGTTCTTTGGGGGTAGGGAGCTTGTTTTCGCAAGATACGAATTCTGAAGTGCGGAAATACAATTCTAGGGACTGAGTGGGGTCCTAGGCTCCTGGGCTGGAGGCAGGACCTGTGCTTGTTGGGTTGAGGATGAAACCTCAGCTCCCACAAGCTCGGAGCAGCCCTGAGTAACGCTGGTCTGGCTCTAGGTGAGCGGCTCCATTCTGAGGAGGAACTTGGGTTTGGGGCTTTAAAGGCCCAAAATCCCAAGGGTTGGGCCTTTACAGATAATTAGGACCCAGGGTGAGGTTTACATTGGCTGGCTGGGATTCTGGGAAGAGACCTATATTCTAACGACTGGGGCAGGGCCCTGGGTTCTGAGCTGGAGAAAATTGTGGATTTGATGTAGACTGTACTCGGGACCTGGAGCCTTGGGTTCGAGTAGGGGTGAGGCCTGTCCCCCTTGGGCTGGGGCACAGCATGGGTTCAGAGTGGGGGGACTAAGGGTGGGGCCTGGGTCCCCACAAGCAGTCTAAAGTCCCCAGTAGTTCAGAGGCCTTTGCGCTGCCGCTTGAGGAAAGACAGAGTGTAGTCACTAGGGGTGGACACCTTCTGCTTCTTCATCTGCACTTGTGATTGTGCTGTGAGTTGCAGTTTGATGGCACTTGAGTTGATCTTCGTGGCCACCAGCAGCTCCTTCATGCCCTTCATCTTCTCACTCTGGAAAGTGAGCACTGGACCCTCCGGCGGCGGTGATGCTGCGGGTGCTGGCGCCTGAGCCATGCTCCCACCTTCAGGGCCTCGGGCTGTGCCAGGGACTGTCCCAGAGGGTTTCCGGGGGGGTCCTGACACCGCACCCTGGCCGGCGCCCGGGCCCTTGTCCAGTGCTGGCTTCTTGGGTGGCGGAGGCTCCTCTGGCTTGGACTCCCGCCGTGGACCCCTCCGCCGACCTTCCCGGGCTTCCTCACCCCACGGCTCCTCTGCCTCGGCCGCCTCAGCCTCCCGGCTCACTATGCGCACCTTCTGCCGCACCTGGGCCAAAGGGGAGAGCAAGCTGAGGGCAAGGTTGCCGGCCAGTGGCTGGAACTTCTGCTCTGGCCATCCCATCCCACCCAGGGGGTCTCAGTCTCATCTGCACCTAAGGGGATGGGCAGATGCTGCCCCTGGGCCAGAAAAGTCTGACAAGCCTGTGGCTGCCGTCACCACCTGCAGCGCCCAGACCTCTGTGCAGCTGTCCCTCACCTGTCCCTCAAAACGGCCTAGGGACTGCACAAGGAAGGTGGCCCAGCCCACATGCAGCACAGGCGTGGGACTGCCCTCTTCCCATTTGCAGATCCCGTCGTAGAATCGCAGCAGGTGGGCAAAGCATTCAGGGTCCTGGAGGGCAGAACCTTGGCTCTGGGTACCCTGGACAAGGGGGAAGGGAGGGTACAGGTCAGTCTCTTACTCACCCCTTAGCAGAGGGCACTGGCCAGGCCCCCCGCCTAGGCAAAGACCCCTGGCTCCAGAAAAGGTAAGCATAGGTCAAGAACAATCTTAGAACCTCTTTCCCTTTATAAAGCCAATGCATAGCCAGTGGGTACCATCCCTTACCACCTACCCTTCAGCTGTAGGAAGGACTCTGGCCATGAAACTGAAGGCACAGGGTAGAAACTTCTAAAATGCCTTCAGCCCGTCCACCGTGGACCCTGGACCTGAGCTACAGCAAAAGGGAACATAGCTCTCTGCTCGGGGACCCCTTCTTCATGCCATCCCTAGTCCTGTACATGCAGCTCCCATGGCCTGTGGCAGAATGCCCTGCCCAGGTGGGAGGCTGGACACAGGCTGGTGCTCCAGCCTTTCACCTGGCTCTGTTCCCCTGGCCGCTCCTCGCCCGCCTCCAGCAAGCTGGCTGCCTCCTTCAGCAGGTTGGGGATGACATCATTGGCTACTTCGAAGAACTCTTTGTAGATCTCCTCGTCTTCCCGGCAGTAGTTGTAGCTGTGAGAGCAGGAGAGTCTCTGTAGGGTCTGAAGGGGTCTCACCATGGGGTGTAGCCCCAGGGACCTGGCGGGGGATGGAGCCCACTTCTTTTCTTGGGTCACCCCAGGAGCTGGGGGGAGTAGGTGGGGCCCTCACTGCAAAATGATGCTGAGTCACCCTAGAGCAAGAATGAGGAGGGGGGATGGGGCCAAGGGTAGAAGTCCCCCTGCTAGATGATGGCGGTTAAACATTGGGAGGAAATTTGAGACTGTTCTGAGAAAAAAATACTGGAAGGAGAGAGGAGGGAGGGAAAGACATGATGCCTTAATCAGGGGTCCCTACCTCCTGGATGATGGTGGCCTTGCTGCCTAGGGACTGGAAGGAAAGGGGACGGGGCTTGGGACCCAGGCCTCAGTCCTGGACGAGGGAGGTTGGAAACTGATGGAGGGGAAGAAAGGACAGGATGCAGGCCCTAGTAGGGGATCCTCACTCCTGGATGACAGTGGCCGTGTCTGCCCAGGCCTGCAGAGCTTCGCGCACATTGCGGTTGCGACAGTGGTAGCCAGCCAGGTACATGTAGGGGTAGATGTGTTCGTCCCGATAGTAGGTTTTGGCTGAGGCAATGCCCTGGGGGTGAGGCAGAGGATCATCAGGGAGGCAGCCCCAGCTGCCCTGCTGGCACAAATGCCCCATCAGGGCACACCCAGAAGGGGCCACAGGAAGATCCCAGAGAGTCCTCTCCATCTCCACTCCCACCTCCACTCACTGCCAACCCTTGTACCTGGTCTCCTCCCTGGGTCTGCGGGACTGCTGGCCAAGGCCTGGGGCAGACTGTAGGGGTGGGACCTGCCCTCTGAGTTCAGGGCCCTTCTCTTTCCCAGACACTCTTCTACATACACACCAAAGACTTCCAAGCCCAGCCCAACGGCCCTCGTCCCCTCTACACCCACCAAGTGAACACCCACCCCCCAGAGTGTTCCTACCACATTTGACCTCTGTTATACTCCAGGAAGGACAGTAGGAGTGGCAGAAAAGGCAGGGCTGAGGGGACAAATGCAGGCCCTGCCACTCCCAGGCTGGGAACCCTGGACACCCCTCAGATAGCCCTCACTGCACTGATTCTGCACATAACTGACACACAGTGAGACTGGATGGGCGATACCCCCCAACACACAAAGTTCTCTCCTCATCTGTCCAGATGAGGGGGAACCCCAGAAAGCAGGGGGGCCTCAGTCACGGTTGGGGGTCTCCCTTCTGTACCCTCTTTAGATGCCCCCACCTTGTGGTAGAGGGTGAGTGGGTCTGGCCGGCCAGGGGTACGCTCCAGCTCCTCCAGATCTGCCAGGTTCCCTAAGGCCATGGGGTACCTGGGAAAGGATCATAGTTCAGGCTGCCAGCTAGCTCCCTGGCCCTGCAAGGCCCAGCCTGGCCACTTCCCTCTACAAACCTTTCCAGATGTCCCAGGTCATAGAGCAGCCAGAGCAGCTTCTAGGGGCCGAAGGAAAGAGTTATGAGCTACGGGACAGGGAGAATGGGTCCCTGGCCTATCAGGCAGGGTGGGGGCCAGAACCATCAGGGACCGCCCACCATGCAGAAAGGCCAAAGTTCTGGGATGAGCCCTCTGGAGGAGTCAGAGCAATTTCACAGCTCAATTCCACTCCCCCAAGAGCCCTGGGAAAGGCCAGGCCAGGAATTACCAACCCATTTTCCAAGCAGGGAAGCCGAAGCCCAGATAAGGAAAGTGCTCCTGCCCAGTGTCCCACGGCAGGTCAAGTTCTGGCCTAGCCCAGTCCTGTCCCCTGGGCTCAGCCCTCACCTGCTGCAGCTGCAGCAGCTCCAATGAGTCGGTGTGCAGGTCAATGGAAGGGTTGATGGCACACACCATGAAGGCCACCTCCATCTTGCGGTCACAGCGCATGTATGATCCTTTCAGGTACAGCCAGCTCTTGGGAGGGGACAAGACCATTATGTCTCAGGATGGCTCACCCTGTGCCTGCTTCAGGGAATGACAGCCAGGAAAAGGGGCTCTTCTGTCTTCCCTTCCTATGTGGGTGGTGATGGGAAGAAAGGGGAGTGGCCTAAGAAAGTAGAGTCCCTTGGGTGGCTTGGGCTACCTGAGTATGAAGGGGGCAAGGTTGGGGGAAGGGGACAATACCCGCTCAGCCACACCGGCGTTGACAGTCTGGCCCCTGCGGTCCTCATTGCCCTTGCCATGCCAGGTGACCTCAGCTGTCTGCTCCCCATTGGGCCCAAACACTACCCAGGCATGATCCTCAGACAGGGCGAGGTGGACATCCCGGAGACCCAGGGCCTGGCAGGCCCCAACCACAGCAAAGGCCACACCGGAGCTGTCCAATTTGGTGCCTGTGGAAGGGGGAGGTAATAAAAGAGGGTCCTCTGTGCTTTGGCATGAGGGAAGGGAGCCAGGTAGTGATGGGCCACACTCCCTCCCACTCCCTTTCCCGGCCTGTG